CTGGAAGAGTCGGAAGTAATTTGTGCACCACAAGAGAATATGGAGGTATGTGATTCATAGACTTGAAAATATTTATTATTGAGTTATTGGGAGAAACAGGTGTTGAATTATTTTTCGGCGAGAAAACTGGCGTCGAATAGAATTCATTGTACTTTTCACTTCTAACCAAACGATTTCTAAACACGGTTCACACCCGCTTTGAACACAGTTCAAACAAGAGCATTTGATTGATGATTTTTGAGAACATAACTACATTAACTTCTCCCATATGGAGGTTCGGTGAGAGCTTCAAATTACAATTATGACTACTTGCAAGGAAAATGATAAAATTTGACATTGACGTCAATTGTCTGATTATGGAACCCTTATTTCTGTCTGACTTCTTCTCTTATTTATACCTATGAAGATATAATTGTTATGGAAAACCGCCTTTTGGATATGGTGTTGGGCCTTAGTCGAGTTTGGGCATGGTTATATCGGGTACATTTTTGCTATTTTGCAATTTTGATCGTTATGGTCTTATGGAAGTGGGGGAAAAAGTGTAGAAAAATCGTCACACAACAAACTCCCACCTCGCTGAAATGGAACCAGCCGCTGCATTTCATTTCCCCCCCGCCGAAACGTGTCGAAACGCCGGGCTCAGTGACGCGAGCCTGTGATCCCAGTGGAGGCAATAAAGTGATGGAACCTTGGGCTCAGGCCTGGCCCAACTGCAAAGCCCACCGGAGGCTAGCCGGCGGATATATAGCCACGCCGGGAAGATTGGCCAATGAACTTCCGGTGACGACTGAGACGTTCCTGGTTCCGATCTGAGAGAAGGATCGGTCAACAATTGCCCTCGCATCCTGAACCAAAAAAAGACCCAACCTGCTGTTGGATCCCGAGCTTTGGGGTGGCCACCCACTGAAGCCGAACCACATGTCCTAAACCCGGGGTTAAAATCCTGGCCGGAGAGCCGAAACGAGTCGCCGGTGATAAAAGACTGATGGAAGGGTTTCGACCGCCGGCGGTCATAGCTTGAGCGGTAGAGTCTTAGTGGAGATGGAAGGAGTGCAGTGACCACCGACCAGCTCTGGGCAATGGAGATCTTGAACCATCACTTTTTTTTTTAACCGGACCGGTCCTCTTTTTTCTCCATTTGATATGAGATCCCAATAATATGAATCATTATTCATCTGTCCTTTCAATTTCCTCAGCGCTGTACAAAAGAGGCCGTTGTTCCATTCCAAGCTTTGGTCCAAACAGCAAAGCTAATGGTGTCCTGGAATTGACAGCCTCCGGCTACAAAGACGAACCAAGATAAAATCGCAGCAGTAAAGGAAGAAGGGAGCTGCTATTTCTGAGTCTGAGCTATTTGGTGGAGACTGGAGACCTTTTTTGAGCTTTGCGTCACAATGCAAAAGTCTATCTACCACATCGCTGAAAATGAAGCTGCTGGTGGTGTTTATAATTGCGCGGAAAACGAGGTCCACCGCCGAGCTCTGTAACGGGAGCTTGTGATCCAAGTGGAGGTACCAAGGTTGTGGGACATTGGGCCGGCCTCAAGGGCTGGGCTTGATGATCCAATTTCTGGCTTGCCCGCTCTAAGCTTGGAGTTGGGCCGGGAAGGTTGTGCGAAGGCCCAGCTGACCTGGTTCCTAGAGTTGGGGGATAAAGCGCCAGGCTGGTTTCACAGAGCAGCGCGGCTCCCCGCTCCAGGCAGTAGAGGGAAAACAGGCCGGTGGTTCTCAAGCCCGCATAGCCTGTCGGGCCGTCCAACTGGACCATAATTTTTTTACCTTCTCAATTTTGTATGTTTGGGCAACGGGCCCAAGTAGAAGTTAACTTTTTTTTTACCTTCTCAATTTTTTTATGTTTGGGCAACGGGTCCAAGTAGAAGTTTTGCCCAAGTAGAAGTTGTAAGTGTGGATCATCATGATGTGTAGAGTGTAGACTGAAAGCATACGGCGACCGACGCTGAAACCTCTAGCATATATGCGGTTAGAATGAATGCTGGAGGGTTGCAATTAAGTCGAGTCGAAGTGAGTTTCGACCTATTTTGAGTTAGGTTCGGTTAATAAACGAATTGATCTCGTCCTCGGCTTGCTTACGAAAACTTTAGCTTGTATTTGTCTCGAGCTTTGACTCATTAACGATATCATGAGCTCTACTCGAGCTCGACTCATTGGTTAGCTCATTAGATTGGCTTGAGCGCAGGTACCATATCAATTTTAGTTCATAATTTTTAATTATTCATATCGTGTTATTTAATGATAATAAGTCTCTAAGCAATTTATGATTTATACAATTTCTCTTTTAAATTATAAATGAGATATATTTGGTCGCGTGCTCAAATTTCTTAAACATCGTAGGTGGTGAGATATGTAAATCTAACAAACCTATAGATTATAAGTAGTCAATGATAAGCTGTTAATCGATTCCACTCATAATTTGCTAGTTATGGTGGCTCGCCATATGCATATTATCAATCTAGCTCATAGTTCATGAATTGAGCTCAACAAGCTCACGAGCCTTGCAAACCCAACAAGAATTAACTCAAACTCAACAAGCTCACGAGTCCAATGTCGGAAAAAAAATTCCGAGCAGACTGCTCCGAAATCTATAGCGAATCTGAGGACGTGTATAACTCTAATCAACTCCGGCGATTTTTACCCACCGAAACCAAATGGTGAAAGAGCCATTAGGATCAGCAGTTGCGTATTTAGATATCAGGAGAATAGAATAGACACAACCATAAGGATATATACGACAGGAACTCCCACATCGTTGGAATTGAACCGGCTGCTGCACTTCATATTGCCCGGCGGAGGCGTTTTGAATCGCCGGGCTCGCTAACGAGAGCCTGTGATCCGAGTGGAGGCAATAAAGTGATGGGACCTTTCCCAATTCCCACCGGAGGCTAGCCGGCCCTGAATTTGGCCTCCGGGCAGCCATACCAGGGAACTCCCGGTGACGACTGAGGAGTGTCCCTTGTTCCCACTGTGAGAAGATCGACGGTCTAACATAACTGCGCACCCCGGAACCCATAAGACGGACGCTCAACCTTTCGGCCGGCGGTCAAGTCCCGCTCTCGAGCCATTACTTGAGGGGTTGAGTCTCTTGTTTGGAGGTAGAAGGAACAAGCACAGTTTGATCGTCGAGCCGCTCTGGGCTATCGATTCGAACCATCACTTTTTATTTATTTTATCGGCCCATTTGGTCATTGTATGTCCAGTTTTGATTTACCTTTCTTCATCAATGTTTGGACAAATGGGTCTTTTTCCCATGTGATGGCCGAAGCCTGGCTGCTAGGTGATTAGGGTTTTTCGGTTTATAATACAGGTGCTTGTATATGGCTACGTATGAGAATAATAAGCTGAGATAGCAAAACTTCTCCGTGGAGTAAGCTCATTCACATCGAATGAGAAGAACCACGTAAACACTGTGTCTCGTTCATCGTTTCCGCGTTCATACAAATATTTTATGCACGAAGGGCTTTTTGTTAGAAAGATCAAAGACGGATGCTGGAGCATTCTAAGTTGCACTAATGACTATGTCTGTATCAAGAAAACAATATAATGTACGTAAAGGTTTGACATTACTACATATATATATAGCAGATTATATTTGTATTGTGAGTAACATTAAGAATTCATGTAATGTAGAATAGGACCCCATGCATGTAATTCGTTGAATTGTTGATGCTTTTGGTTGAGGTAGAAACTAGAGAAGAAATAATGTTACGTTTTAAATGAGATTATAAAAATTCTTGTAATGCAAGAATGCACTATTGGGTTTGCAAAAGAACTGTAACATAAGGTCCCGAAAAATTGGACGAATCGTTAATGCTTTGAGGTACAAAAGACGTTAATTAATATACGTGGTAAACCAACGCAATGTAAGTTTCTACATTGCACTATTGAGTTTGCAAAAGAACTGTAACATAAGGTCCCGAAAAATTGGACGAATCGTTAATGCTTTGAGGTACAAAAGACGTTAATTAATATACGTGGTAAACCAATGCAATGTAAGTTTCTAGACTAAAAGAGAATAAATACTATTGAGGAATACAATTTGTAAATGCCATGATGGGTTATTAGGATGCCAATTAGTCCTATATGTAGTATACTTGCTGTTCTTCCTCATATTCTGGGTCAAGTTAACTGCTGCAAATCTTCCTATCTTTCCTTTGGTCAAAAACCACAGAATTGTCAATCAAGTCCTCTCCCCCTTTCATTAACTCAATAGTTCAGTTCATATTCATTTCCATTCTGAACGAGAGTGCTTTCCAAGACCCTAAGTTGCTCAACTCTTTACAAAAGAGGCATTTTGTTCCCCATTCCAAAGCTTGGTCCAACCAGCAAGCTAATTATGATACTGGAATCGACAGCTTCCAGCGACAAAGACGAAACCAGGAAAACACAGAAGTGAAAGAAAGATGGAGCTACCGATCTGACTTTGAGTTATTTGTTGGAGACCATTTTTGAGATTCTGTGGTAAAAGGTTATACAGAAGAGAAGACACAGCAACCCAAGAATGCTTCTATCTACCACATTGCTGAAACTGAAGCTGTCGATAACGTTTATTATTGTATGAAATCAACATCTGTCGCTACCAAGCTTGTAATCCAAGTGGAGGCAATAATGTGGTGGAACATTGGGCCGGCCTCAAGTGCTGGGCTTGATGAGTCTGATTTCTAGCTTGCCCGCTTCAAGCTTGGAGTTGGGCCAGGGAGGTTCGGCGAAGGCCGAGTTGACCTGGTTCCTAGAGTCGGGGGATAAAGCGTCAGGCTGGTTTCACAGAGCAGCGCGGCTTCCCCCTCCAGGCAGTGGAGGGATAACAGGCCGGTGACTCCCTGGCCCACATAGCCTGTCGGGCTGTCCAAACTGGACCATTACTTTTTCTCTTGGCCCAGTTCTATTTTTTATCACTACTTTTTCAGGCCCAGTTGTGCTTTATTAATCATTATTGTAAAGTACAGTTGAAAACTAATTACACGATCAAATAGAACACAAAAGAATTGAACTCTCTCTTCATTGTCACCCAAGTTGCCAAGAGAATGTCAATAAGGCAACATCGCTGGGCGATAATGGCTCGAAATCAGAAAAATCGAATTCTATCGTGTCATCTTGTATTGTGGGGCGATAATCATTTTTTCTTTTTCGGGACACGTACACAACTTCCGCGAAGCCACTGCACCTAGTCAATCTCAAAAGCATCAAGCTTTCACTCACGATCATCAACCGACCACCGGAGCAAGGTCGTAGAACGGTGTCGTCCTCATCCCCATACTCGTAATTGTCCACGATGTAGCAGTCTTCCAAGGTCACCTCCTGGAGAACCGGGCAACCGTAGATGAAACAGCTCAGGAATCTCGCCTCTATGAATCGCCCCTTCTGCATCACCAGCGATATCAGAAACCTTATATCATACCAGAAGCAATAAAAGTTCGTTAGGGATTTTTTCCAAGATATAAGAGTTAGAATGAAAAAAAAAAACGTTACAATACAACACCTACACTAATATTTTTCAAAGTACTAGAGTTGGACGTGATTTGCACTAGTGTCCAGCGATCTTGAACAGCTAGTCAAGATTGCTAGAGACAACAACGAACCATGCAGATAAGCCAACTACGATGATCTTGCCTAAAAAAATCACTCATAAACCAACGATCTACACCTATCACACATTGAAACTTTAATAAACGGTAAATTCACTCTCAAAATCGTTAATGATCGGATAACTAAACACATAAATCGCTGACTTCATCAGCGATCTGGGTGGATCACTTAGATGGAATCTAATTAGCTCGCTTGTTTTAATTGGCCACAATCTAATTAGATCGCTTTGATCTCGAGCGAACCAATACTTAGTGCGCTGAAAATTCGCCAAACTCTATTGCTTTCAGAAATTCCAGTGTAAATATGAAAGTATTAGCTTACTGAAAACCGTTGCCGGCGCCGGTGAGTTGGCTCCTCAGGATTCCCATGTCGCAGTTCCGCAGGGCCAAGCGCTTGAGAAGTTCCCCCCGCCTTCTTCCCGACAACAGACCGCTCAGGGAGAGTACTCTGTCCGGCCTGCGAAAAGACACGACTTTGAATCGGCAGCAGGTGCAAGCGCCGTCCACCAGCGGCGCCGCCGTATTGGATCCGTCCTCCTTGTAATTGAACTCGATCCACCCGCAATGTGTATCCTCCGGTTCGAAATTCAGCCCCAGCGATTCGATCGAGAGCTCGGCGGCGGCCCCGCGGGTAATAACCTTGTCGACCCAGTTCAGGAATTCGTCCACGGTGTCGAAGCACGAGATTGGGTAACCGTTGGGGGCGAATTGGGTGGTCGGGTTGCCGGCGAAGTGCGGGTTTGGCAGCGCCGATCTCCACTGACTCCTCCATCGGCGGGAGAGGATGCTGGTCCTCGTGGCTTCATCGAGCGGAAGGGCGGTGGCTATTTTTCCTAGTAGCTCCGGCGGTAATTTGCCGAAGTACGTATCCCCTTCCATTCCAATTCTTGAAATTAAGATGGAAGAATTGCTTAAACGCACTCTGATTCTAGCGATTCTGCATCATGGCCTTCATATATGTAGACAGAACAACAAATCCTTGCTCCAATTGGAGAAAGGACTTGGTGTTACAAATAGTCAAATCTCACACACATATATATGCTGCTTCCTTAGGTCATCCAAAAATAAGACCTTCAGTCCTACTACAACAACAGATGACCCTACTACTGATCATCAGAAGTCCGAGGCAGCCTGAACGAGCCGCCAGCGTAAAGGGTCTCGTAAACAGGCTTGATCCTCAATGTTAGTACGAAGCTCAAGATGGAGCCCAAGGCAGAGGCGCCAGCTAGAACCAAGAAGGTCAGCCTGAAGCAGTCTGGACCCAAGCAAGAGAAACCAGAACTGTGCAGCATACTATTCGATTCGTTCTGCTTGGCTGCCTCGGTGTCGTAAACGTATGCTGCTAGGAGGCCCGAGAAGAGGAATGCCCCGATGGGGTTCCCTATCGATATGACGCTGTAGAAGATACCAAAGTGCTTCAGCCCAAAAAGCTCTGAGACAGTCGGGATCATGACGGAGAACTGAACCCCATAGCAGATACCGAGCAGCGCAGTTGCTGCATAGAGGGTCCCGTCTATGGCAGATGCGTAGAGGAGGTATGTCACCACCATCAGTGCTTGGGCGCATGTGATCCATACTGTTCGAGGGATTGTTCTCGTCCTGCAAATGGAAAGTTCATACCATTTGACTTTAAGGACGCAACATGAAAAGAGCAGTACTAAGTTCAATCCAAGCATTGTGTCAATGCTGCTAACAAACCTGACGAAATGTTCAGAGATGACGCCTCCACCAAGGCGCCCTGCAAAATTGCAGAAGCTGAAGAGTGAGAGTAAGATTGTTGTATCATGCATTCCTTGTGCAATCCCTATCTGAGCCAGGTTGTTTAGCACGGTCACGCCAGAGCCAACTCCCACGAAGTAAATGAAGAAAATGAGCCAGAAATCAGCTTTCACTACAGCTTCAGTGAAACTGAAATCCTCCCCCCTTCTAGGCCTCCTCTTCTTCTTGATTGCTCCTTCCCCTTCAGCTAGAAGCATTGCCACCTCCGACCCATCGTCGCATTCCCTAAAGCTCTCACTTGTTGTTGCCGACGAAGACTTCTTCATCAGCAATGGCTCAGTTTTCTCCATGCTCCCATCCCCTTGCACCAAAGAGTCAGTAGAGGATACCCTTTGGTCGATGTCGATGGGTACTGATTTGCTACTCGTCATTCGAGCAAAAGTCATCTTGATGGGAACAGCCAGAGGAGCCAGAAGGAGGGCAAACAGTATCGCCAGAATCGCGTAACAAACCGCAGGGTTCAGGCTAAGCACGTGATCAAGTATTGTGCTCGTCAGGACATACACGCCAAGCACGACAAGAGCACCTTGGATGAAGAGGAAATGGGAATTTTCGGAAGGGTCATTACCAGATGATTCAGTACAAGCTCTCACAAAGTACATCACTGCAAAACACAGTATGGGAATCCCAACAGCAAGGAACATGAGGAGCTTGGAGGAGGATCCATGGAGCAAGATGTTGAAGATCTCGGTGAATACCGCTGCACTGATTCCTCCATAGCCTTTGAGAATACCAGCGACCGTGCCTCGGCTGAGAGGGAAGTTCCTCATGTTGGTCACCAGCACCGCTGTGCTGAACCATGCACTGCTGTTTGTAGCAACACATAGCGCTAGCCAGAGCTGTGAAAAAAAGTAGTTTTCACAAAGTTTCATGGTTAGATGAGCTCTTTGCAGATTGGAATCACGGAATTTACCAACTACCAAGTTACAACATGTTAATACGAAGAGTAAATTGAAGTTCCCCATCGGAGATTGATGCAATTTACACAATCATTAAATTGAACAAGCAACACAGTATATAATCTGCCTTGCTTCATGTCGATCTACAACCTACCCGAGCGCAAGAAAAACACCCATTTCTGATCAAGTCATTTCGACAGATGGGTAGGCGAAATCCGCGGTAAAGTTTGGAACTTTACACCAAAATTACATAAGAGATAAGCTCCTTGCAGGTGGGGATCACAAAGTCTATAGCTTCTAAGTTCCAAAATTTACCAATTCCGAGCACAGATTCAAGTCATTTCATCAATCGGGTGGTCGGATTACGCAATAAAGTTCAGAACTTCACACGAAGAAACTAGACAAAGAAACTCACCAGCCAGTAGGGCAAGGACTCCACTGTGCGGCTAAGCGAGAGCCAGAGGACGCCATAGCCAAAGAAGCAAGCCAAAGATCCAACGAGGAGAATCACCCATGGAGGCAAGTAGTTGCAGGCGATCCCAGGGATAACGCCAATGTTCTCGCCGATATCATTAGCCACTCCGAGCATAGAAAGCTGCTGCTGGTTGAAACCCAGCACGGATTTCAAGGAATGGGAGTAAAGAGGGAAGTTGTACGCATTCCCTGCCGCAATTTGGACCCAGATCGCCGCTCCGAGACCCACCCACGGCGGTCTTGTCCCTGCTTTCAGGGTTGTCGCCGTCGCCATGGCACAAGCGACGAGGGTAAAAAGAGAGAAAGCGGAAAATGTTGGGTAGAAAGTGCGGTAGCGAAGTGAATGATGCCCTGCCTGCCGGCTTTTGTTCGTACAAAATGGAGGATTGAATTTGAGACTGACAAACAAGCACTACCAACCTACTACTCTACACTCCACAGTCCACACTACTTCATAATGGGAAAATGTTGCTTAAAGTTTTGATTTTTTCCCCCTTTTCGCTCCTCTGTTTTCCCTTTCTCACGTCCTCTGTTTTCTTCTTTCTTCTTCCGTTTGTCATTTTCATGGACAGACACGAAATTTCAGACTTTCGGTTTCTTGTTGTCAACTTGTGCTGCCGACGCTAGGTCATATTTTGCGTGCTCCAAGGTGGATCAGTTATGCTGACATTATCTTTCAAAAATGCCACTGTCCGATTGAACGACTAAAAACACGAGTACAATCCAACGACGTCGTCAACACATGCCGTTCGTACCTTATCAAACATAACAACCTATTAGTGAAGGTTTCTTGGTTAGATAGGACGAGGATTGGGAAAAAAGAGAAGGAGAGGGAACTTGAATTTTGCCTATACTACACATCTCCCACTCTTAGTTTAATGTTTCCTCATCATTACACATCTCGGACTATGATCACTCACCACATGTTCGGCTCGTTTCTACCTATCGTCTTTCTCTCACCGATTCGATTGGTTTTGCGATGAATTTCAGGCTCAAAAGTTTGGCAAATGCGCATTTCCAAACATTTTGACTAACACTAGTGTTTATGACCAAGCTAGCTATCCTTCTTTGCTCTTTCACCACTGTAAGAGCCTCTGAGGTGGCCATTTTCAATTGCGTTTACTTAGTCATGCACCTCCCACTACATAGAAAATTGGTAGAAAAGGTCTACTGTGGAGACTGTTGCGTGATCATGAAAGAGGAAAGTGCATTGGAAAGGAATTTCTCGTCTGAGAAAGAGCCCAAGCCCATTCCTTTTGGGGCTTCTTTCAATTGGGCTTTCTCCAGTCCAGTGGACTGATATCTCAATTCTAGCACATATATTTCAATTGTCCTTCTCCAGTCCAGGACAGTGCTTCATTAGTTGGACAACCATTGTAAATCACAAAATAAATCGAGTACAAAAATGAAAATCTAGAATTGGAAAGCGACGAAAGAAAAAACAAGAACACTTTCCTAGCAATATCTTCCCCTACAAGAACAAGAGATCCTGGATCCCCAACTTCTACTGTCAAGGTTTATCCATGGAGTGGAGCATGATCAAATAATGTAGATATAGTTGGACCGTCAGATTCTATTATCTTGATTCTATAGATTAAATATCAAGGCCATATAAATGGCACGATTCAACCATGTCAACACATACCGATCGAACCCCTGAGCATACGCTAACCAGATTGTGTCCATCTAGTGTGGCAATGGGGGCGGGAGCGCAGGACGGGTACTTCAATACTCTCTCATGCTTTGTCCCACGTTAGTGCGGTTTGGGGTGGGCAATATCTGTGCGGGTAATAAAATGAAGGAAAATTTAATTTTTACTGTAAGAAATTGAACAAAAAACATACGCAAAATTTAATTTTTACTATAAAATGAAGAAAAAATACTTTATGAATGAAAAATAATGATAATAAAATGGATAACTGAGTCTAACTAGTTGAAGAAACGCCAATAATTACTGTAAGAAATTGAGATAGAATGAGACCAGAACAGGGCAGAGCGGGAATACCATTATACCACTATAATTTGTCAAAAAAAAAAAAAAAGAGTCAACTCATCTCGAAATACGACACTATCAATTGGAAATTTTGGGATTAGATCTCTCAAACTCTCTAGCCAAGATGTAGACATCGTTGGTCGATAAAAGCAAGGATAGGTAGCTGTTGTACAATGTGGCTATCGACCACCATCTTCATAATAATTATGTGCAAAATTGCAAGTTATTATCACCATCATCAATGGGTATATGTACACATCTACTCTTCTACTTTAAATGGGCCATTGCCTTGTTTATGGAAAAGTGTAGCAACTTGCTCAATTGAAGATGATGTAAGCTAAGTGGGTTTTTATATTGATGTGGGAAAGTCTTTATTGAATATGGGGGAAACTTGGCATCTTAGTATTCTCAGGAAGGAAGGAATTAGTGGACAAACTATTTGAATCCTTATCCTCTAATTGTGTACTCTTAATGAGTTTTGTTTTCTTTCTTACCATTTACCAACCCATATAGAGTCTAGAGATTCGTAGTATATACAACCTTATCCACCATTACCGCTCTTTGATTTCTTATTGACGACGAAAAATGATAACAGGGTCTTAAGGTTACCATGAACATGTCTATCATTCGTATTTTTAAAATATTCTTTTTTATTTCTAAATAAATTATTTCTTGTTAAACATAATTTAGGAAAGGATCTTATCATGAATAATTATAGGCGAATATAATTATGGAATGTGATCTTATTTGCTTATTAAAATCAATGTTTGTGAAATTGTACCGTATGGACGGTTTTACCAGACTATTGAACGAATTTATATATGTCTAGTATGAGCAGATGACCTACTTATAGAAGAGTTTGTATATGTGTAGTGTTGTGTGTGGTGTGTTATTTGTTTATGTTTTTAGTTGCTATGTTGATGTGTTATTTGTTAATTCACAATTTATAAGCAATGAAAATAATATCTATATATAATCAAATTTTTTCACTATTACATACCCAATAAAATAACATATACATCACAATTCCCAATACACATTTTCTTTCTCACTTTCCTTTATAAAACAAAATTTTCCTTCCACTTTCCTTAACCTCCAAATTGTCCCTCCCCTCCTAATTCCCTTCTCCTCCCCTCCATTTTACTCTCTTCATTCGGGAACATAGTGAATTAGTGATAGAGTTGGTAACACCAAGCATTCCAAAATTAGGGATGTAATCAATGCTTTATCGCTATGTCAGTGTCATACACATAAATCCCAAATAGTAATCTAAATTCAATCTTAATCTCAATCTCCTAAAATAAATTCGTTAGCCAAATCACAATCCCTAATATTTTGTTCGGTATCGGTATATACCAAATTAATTCCCTTCAACCAAATATATAAAAGTAAATACACATCTCCTCTCAGCAACTCCACAAACCGTTATTGAAATATATAAAGCAAACAATGGCGCTAACACTCCCAAAACCGGGGGGGGGGGGGGAAGCCTCAAGTATAATAACAACAAAATAGGTAAATGTGATGCTTACAAACATTAATAAAATTATAATAATTAACAAAAACATGAGATGGCTAAGCAAAAGTAAACCATAAACATTCTACTACAACTAACTAAATGAACTTGATCTGTGTTGTCAAATAATGAGGGAATAGAATATGTATAATTAAATGATAATTTTGGTGGATGAGGGTCTGTAGCAGCAAGCGAGAAAGCCTAGTTGAGATGGATAAAATACTCACTAGTTTATGTTTCGATATTATCAGTATTTTGATTATCCCAAATATCTTTACCAAACTTCAGTCCTATCTAAAACATGTTCATAAATTAATAGACCCAAAATAAAATCAAATTTACATTTATGTGTAATTTTACTAAACATAAAACCCCAAATATGTCGTAAATTTCCCTTCCATTTAACTTTATAGTTATAGAGAAACAAGTTATGTAAAAAGATGTTTGGCAAAAAAAAAAAAAAACTAATAAAAGAGGTTCTGCTCATAACATTAGGCTGCCATAAAAAAAACCCAAGTCTTGTAGTTCATACGACCTCAAGTACTCAACAGTGCCTGGTCATAACATTAGGCTGCCATAAAAAATAATCTGAAATTGGGCTCAATTAAGAGCAATAGGGATATTGGGCCTCGCTTTAAACCCAAAAATTGTGTATTTGGCAATACGTGTAGTTAATGGTCTTTTGTTCGTTTGGGCTACAGAGGGTTTAACTATTGGGCTATATTCTGATGGACCATCTTTTTTATTGTTGGGCTGGTATTGTTATCCAGCCGACTTATTTATCGTAAAAAATTCCAGCAGGAAACACGTGTCTGAAACGCGTTCGAAACGTGTCTGAAACGCGTTCGAAACGCGTCTAACGGCTAAATAACGCCATAAAAGCGGAAACGCGTCCTAGCTAACCGCCTTCATAGCTCGGCCTTGATCTATAAATTACCAACTGAAGCTCTCTTGTTCATTTTCCCTCCACCCATCAACGTCTTCATCATCTCTCTCCAAGAATGGGGAGCAACGGGAAGTAAGTAAAGTCACACACTCTTTCCTTCTAGGGTTTCAAGTTTCTCTACCGCCTGCTTGAGTTTTCTCATGTTGCCTCGGCGATCATCGAAAGTAGGGTTTTGAGGAAGCCAAAGGGAAAGATGATTTCGGGAAACCCATTAATTCGCTGTTGGTCGCCGCCTGTAAGTAGTTGCCCATGGATTCTACAAGTTTAGAATCGGAACTGACGAAGAAAGGGAGGGTCGAAGTCGACGATATATAGCAGCGGATATGGCCATATGGGGGACGGGCAGGGGAGTAGCCACAAGTTTTGTTTCCAAGTTGTTACCCTAGAGTCTGCCGGGTGATCGAATTCGTTGCCGGTTCCCTGTTGAGGTATGTTTCATACCTACCCTTTTCGTTTTCTGGGCTGGATAATTAGTGAGAGCGATTACGATGGGTCTTCGAGAGCTTTCCTGTCCTCTCTGAAAAACCGCTCTGATCTTGCTGGTACACGATTTCGAGACAGTTAGTGGGCAGTGACATTGAATGCAAGATCTATGAGTTACCATGTCAGCTGTTTAGTCCGTCCCTCTTTGTATGCACAATTGATCACGTCGGTTCGTATAGTGTCTATGTTGAGAAACAGTGAGGTGAATGTTCCTAGTTCCTACAATCGATTTATAAAAAACTTCAGTTCGTATAGTTGAGTCCCATTTTACACACGTTTGCTCTTGCTCCGTCTTAATGCCAAGAAGTTTTTATAACATGATAAAGCGGGGTCCTAGAAGAGAGTTATGAGTAGTCGCAGCAGCTCTTATGCCCAAATGTCGGTTTGTCCATCAGTCCATGATTCTCTAATGTGCATGGCAATGGGGTCCTAGAAGAGAATTCTGCTTGTCAGAGTTGCTCTTCTGCCTTGTTTGTCATTGTGATTAGTTCTTTGATATATATGCTTATAGGGTCCTAAAAGAGAACCATGATTAGGCTTAGTTGCCCTTCTGCCCCATCTTTGATAATGGGGTCCTAGATGGGAACTATGACTAATCCTGGTTGCTCTTTTGCCCCCATCCCACCATCTTCTCTATGGTTCTTTGATTAGCATACGGTGACAATAAGATCTATGAGTTAACATGTTGCCTGTTGGGATACTTTTGTATATTGTTTATGGAGAA